TGGAGTTCAAAAACTACAGATTAATTGTGTTGTTGAAGATGATAAAGTTGGTACCGACTTCCTTGAAGAAAAAATCAGTGAATTCGAAGATTATGTTCAATCAGTGGATATTGCATCATTCAATAAAATATGATTGCAACAAAAGCAAATTCGTATTTCTCCCGATGAAAAAGAAATCAACAATCATAAAATATGGGTGATGATTCGACTTTTCCTTTCTTTTGTGTTTATTATTATTGCTATCTTTATTTTTATCTTGTGTTGGATTGTAAAAGCTAAAAAAACACCAAAATATATTACCCAATTTTGATAAAGTGTATTGAAGATAACATCTTTAGTAAATTACAAGGGATGAATGCGAAGGTTTTGGCAGAGAAGAAGGATTAAACTCCAGTGCGATTCGAATTCTTGTGGTAGATTCATTGTTTAAAATCTTAGTCGGTCGGCATCTATGTATATTTTATAATTATAGAACATCTATAGACATTTTTATTTAACAAAATGAATCTGCTGTAGTTATTTGTTCGTGCATGAATGTATGAAAAACTTGCATCTATCTAGGGTCATACAGTGAAAGATCGTTCTAGGCGTTTACGTTTCTTTTCATTACTAACAAGATAAGTAGATATATATATGTACCGTAACGTTAAAGAGAAATGGCAGTACAGATTTTTGTATCCAGTATTCAGGATAAAATATTTAGGTTATTGATCGCAGACAGTGCTAGTACCATTCCTGAATAAATTTATTAAGATTATCTGAAAAAATATATGTCACAATAGTTGGACTATCCGTATTATTTTTTGGCCCATCTTGCTCAAGTGTAACTGGTAATAAACTTAGTCCTCCATTATATATGATAATCTCTGTATCAGAAAGATCATTTTCAATTAGATCATCCAATTCATTTCGCAGTTGATCTTCTTCATTAAGACTATTTTCATCGCCTCTTTTAAACGTATCATGTGATTCGTTTTTCCATGTCTCTTGTATTTTCCTCACAACATTTTCATTGAAAACATGTTTATTTTGAATCCATTTTATTGTCCAAGCATCATGACGAAATTCATATTTATGATAGGGATGATTCAGCATATCACTCAATCTTTCTAGAGCCAATTCATTTCCTTTGTGTTCAATAAATGATAAGATTGGTAGTCCACCGTCAAAATAATAGAAGAGGGATACATAATGTCTGACTCCAGGAGCTTCATGTACGGATGTCATATTTGGTAACGAAAAATCTTTATGAGACTTTATCATTTCATACCAATTTGGAATTAATGAAACAACTATTCTTTTTGTATTTTCATTAACTGAATAGGATGAATATTGTTCGTTTGCTGACAAATGTTGCTTAATATAGACCGATTGCTCTTCGAAAGATAAGTTTTGCCAATTGCTTGGACATACTAATGATACTTCACCCATTTAATTCGTCTTAATATTGTCTCGAACAAAGCCTCAGATTTTTAAGTTTTTGATAAAATGAATACTCAAACGTTTTCTTTTGTCCAAAAATAAAAAAATACGTGATTACCTCCG